ATCTGAATTTTTTAATTGTAAACGTATAAATTAATTCTTAATAAATCTCGCAGTATTTAATACTAACTCTTGATGTAATGTCGTCCAACCAGGAGCTGATTTAGATACATAATGCAACCGAAAATTTGCAATAGAATCTTCAGTGAAAAATACCAAATTTACTGTCAAAAGAATGGAAACGACGTACTAAGTTTTATAACTAATCGAGAATATAGATGAAAGGGTGTTAAGTTTTAGCGGCAAAAATATGCAGTCGTTCACCTATTCTTTCTAAGTTATCAACATTTAAAATAAATAAATAAATAAATAAAAAATTTTAAAAAATTGAAGAAAAATTTAAAAAAAAAAAAAGAACACTTTTGTAAGATTTTTTTAAGGATAAGCCAACATTTTTGCTACTTCAGAATTTCGCTTCGTTGGTAAGATTTTTCTTCAGAACTTTCACAAGTCCATGTCAAGAGGTTCTACTAGAGTAATAAGTCCACGTTTTGTTTCTTGATAAAAATAATAATGCTCTTAGTTTAGTGTCATCCAATGATTTTTCCATACATGGCTTTATTATATTTTTCTATTAGATGTTATTTGTGTAATAAATCTAATGTATTGCAAAGCGTAAAATGCATATATTACCGACGCTTCATTAAATCTTTGCTTTAAAGGCAATTATAATTATGCTATAGAATTCTGCTCCCTGCCTGCAACGCTCACCAATCATTTTTTTTTAAAAAAAATGTCCGATGGACTGGTTCTTCTGTAAATTAAGTTGGCATCAGATGGGAGAAAACTATGTTATAATTTCATCTATCTCATTTGATAGTAACCATTTAAATACTGTTGTGATGTGTTCCTTTAACTGTGCTTAATTTCAGGTTCTAACGATAACAACAACAAAATTAGTAATTAAGTTAAAAATTGCTTTATGCTTGAAAACTGCTTATTTTGCAAATTTTGAACAAAAAAATCACATGTAAATAATTTAAGCAATGATACTAAGCAAAGAGCCCAAAGTTGAGAATTTAGGTTCTTGACGATAAAATACTTTTAAATGCCCTACGAATGCGATTTAAGTGAATGCAATGTAAGCTTTAAATATTTTTAGTTGCAGAAATACTAATTTACTTTCAGTAAATATGACGTCGTACGTTTTACAACACCTTTCATAACATGCATGAGAGAAAAGCTTAGAATTTTCTTTTGCCGAAAGACAGAAAGTTGTTCGTTCACAGAAAGCTCAGTATATGTTACGTCAACCCAAGAGAACTTTTTATTAGTGGACTATTGCTCAGTCAAACAGATTTATAATGCGGAGAGAAATTCCAATGGAAGGTATAGGTATAAATACATCTAACCCTTCAGCTTTCCTAAGGAATTACGTTTTTATACCGCCTTTTAGAGAACATTTGTTCTGATTGAATGACAGAAATTTCATAAAGCTGTTAATGTTCTGCGGGGTTCCACCCTTTTATTTAACCACTAAGTGTGGAGCAGCAGCTAAGCGAATAATCGCTTAACTTCAATAACAGAAACGTAAGACTCACGAAGGTTAGTTACCTTTTATTGCTCAAAAAAAAGAATGAACAGTCGGCTCCTTTCTCAGGGCGTACAGAAAAGCCTCCACTTGGGCTTAAACTCAAAAGATTTAACTAGTTCAGAACTAACTCAAAAGATTTAACTAGTCAACTCACAGATTTAACTAGTTGGCCCCTAAATATCAAAGTAGCTAGCGAAACTATCAAGGGCCTGTAATACGGCCGAGCGTAGTAACAGCTTAGAGAGACGTGGCCAAAAGGCAAACGCGTGCTAGTCAGAAACTGTCAGGCTGTCTCTCGAAGTCAATGCAACTTCAACTTACCTAGGGTATTTATAGAATTCCTTGCCAATGTGGTTTAATTTACATTGGCCAAACTAAGAGAGCCTTAAAATTTCGCGTCAAGGAACATGAGGCATATGTTAGAAAAAAGGAAACACAGAAGTCTTCTGTTGCCCAACATTGTTGGTCCGAAAATCACACTTTCAATTTTTTTCTGCTGCCAAAATTATTAAAAAAAAAAAAAAAAAACATTTTCCATTGGAGAACTAGATTTTCTAGAGGCATTTCACATTCAAAAAAATCTTTCTGTTCTAGTTAACGATCCTAATTCCAATCCAACTTTGCCTTCGGCCTTTAAAGAAATTGTATTTTAGTTCTGGTTTAATCAACAGATGGTGCCACTAGTTTATTTTATGTCCAGGCTTTCTTATCTTATCCTATCTCGTTCATTTGCGCTTTTGCAGCTGACAATGGTGGTTCGGTAAAACCATCGAAACTAGTTCTGTGAAAATTTGAAAATATAGCTGTGAAAATTTGAAAATATAACGCTGCGTTTTGTTGCTTGACTTCTGAATTAAAAATAACTGTTAGAAACTTAGTATAAAGTTTACAGTTCTTGTAAGTTAATATACCAACGGTAGTAAAAATGTGAATTTGTTATGTAAATGTTTCATTGTACTTCCTTTAAATGATTTATGTCCTCTATTAAATTTATTTCTTCAGTGATTAAAAAAAAAAAAAAAAAACATAAAAATGAAAAGATCTGCTATGTTACTGATATCTGGGCATTCTCAAAACTCTGCTTTGCAAAGATTGATAAATTTGTATAAAATGATCACAGTAAATCACATATTTGCGCATTTATTGCACTCTGTACACATTCACACACATACAAAGTAAATAAATAGATAGATAAACAAATAAATAAATAAATAAATAAAAAGGAACATTTCTATATCTCATGTTCCATTGGACCAATTGACAACATTTACTTGCGTTTTTTGTGGTTTAAAAGTGCAACTTAAGATATATATTAGATTTATATACAGCATCGTTGAAACACGTGTTTCGACAATGTACATAGGTATTTTACAATGTATATGGGTGCGTACTACATAGGTAGTACAAAATTGAATTTTTTCTAAAATAACATATCAAATTTTCTTCATATTTCGATTCTACGACTCAAATTATGCCAAAGTATCAAGTTTTGTGAAACTCGCACGAGCAGGTATTAGAAAATTAGCTCTCAAAATTTTAGCTTCATTTATGTTAATCGAATTCATTATATATTTTTAATATCTCTTATTTTATTAAATTTACTTAATTTTTCCCCACACAACTCGAAATTTAGGTTTAATCCAAATAAAACTCATAGATTTTTCTGATTAATTTTTTTAATTTGTATTTTTTAGCAATATTTATATATTTTTCCATTTTTCCATCCAAAAAATTGTTACCATACCATTACCTTAAAGTAGATATATTTCTAGGCATACCTGCAAAAAATTAGAGTTTTTGTTTAAAATTTTCCAAGACAGGAATTTATATAGTGGCGCGTTTTGAAATTTGGCAAATTTGTTATGAGCGATTTTAACGCCTAAACATTTACGCACTTTGTTAAAATTATTTAAAAAAATGAAAAATGCACCTTTCTCTCCGCTTAGGTGTCACTAATGTTTTCAGTCTCGTGCTAAGACATTTGATATTTTTTCAAATTAGGATTCAAAAGATTCGATTTCGAGATTTATGGGAGTTTAGGTTTCGAATGACTCATAAGATTACGTATGGAAGTCAAATGTATCTTATCTGCATGGATGTCTGGGAGAAGTATTGATAAATTATTCTTTCTGTAAAGCATATATGAAAATGTATTTATTTAGAACAAATATATGAAATATTAATATTTCGTGCTCATTCTATGTATATTCACGATTAAAATGAAACAAATTGTGCCCATTCTCTCAATATAAAATGAGCTGAAATATAGTCGTTTATGAAATAGTTTTATCAATTATTTCAATTCAGAAAGGTACAAAAATATTTTTTTTTTGAAGGAAAATTCCATTTATAATTTGTTTGAAGTACTTCTTTTCGATTTAAATCTCCGTAATTTTTTAATCAAATATTTGAATGCTTAAAAGTTTTATATTCTTCCCAATCTAAGCAAAAGATAAAAAAACTTAGTCTATTGAATGAACTGTGTAGTCCAAAATAGAATAGTAATTGATAATTCCAGTTTGATGTAGTTAATTAAAATGAACTGTAATTTATATTAAAAGGAATTAATAAAAGCTATTTCTTTCATATGCTCTTGATGCGGAGCGATCGGCATACATATCTGTTTGATTATCGGAAGATCGGGGTTCAATTCCAAGCGACTCCACTTTTTATTTGTTTATTTATTTATTTATTTAAGAAACTGCGTTTTAAAATAGATTAATAAGAAAATGAAGAAACTCATAGCAAAGATAAGCTCAAATAAGTGTAAAATATATTACTAATTTCTTTGAAATTCACTCCAGATTTTATCATTGTTGTATAGCAGACCCCCACATGTGCTGGAAACGATGTATTGAGGCTGTTCGCACATTTATTAGACAATTTTGCTTTGCTGTAAAAAATCTTCTGCTTTAACTGTTTTTAACTGTAATTATATTTCTGAAAGTATAAATTATCGTCTGCTACTTGTCAGTTTTGTTTTCTTGAAAAATGTCGCTTTTAAAGATGCAATGGATTCGTGTTCTTTCTGAAGAAAAGGATTCCTATCTATTTATTAAAAAATGTTCTGAAAGGCATGGCTTTTCTATATACAAAGCTACGACAGGTAATATTATCAAAAACAAAGAGAAAAAAAATGTTAAAATTTAGCTTCAAGTGGAAAAATTGTTCCAAATACGTATCCAAGGCTAAAACGGAATGTTTCGTATGTTGCAAAAGCAAGAACTTTAATGTTAAGTAAATCCGCCAAGTCGAAGAAGGTTGCAAAATCATTAAAATGCTCAGTATTTTAAACAAAGTGACTAATTCTGATTTGAAATTTAAAAAGGCGAAAAAACATAATGTGCATAGTCTTTCTCCACGGCATATCGCTGAACGCAGAACGCGCTGCAGAATTCTTTATGAGAAACGTTTACCCGGATAAAAATGGAAAAATATTGTCACAATAGACGAATTGTGGTTGTGCTTAATGACTGACATAAAAAGGTACTCAATAATTATCACCAAAGAGGAGAAAAAATCTTAAAGCAAATTTCAAGGAATCTAAAGAAAGCTTTTCTAAGAGATTTATGAGTACTGCTAGTTTTTCATAGAACGGCAAATTAAAAATAAAGAGAGTGAATAAAAATATTAAGATCAACTCCACATATTATCAAAAACATATTTTATATCCAATTTACAAATATTAAATATTTTCTCTTTACACATAGTGTGATTAATCGGTAGAACTGCATCAAGACAAAGCAAGAAGCGACAATCAAAACCTACTGTTAATTTCCTGGAAAAAATGAAACAGAAAACAGGTATCAAAGCCATACCCTTCATTCATATCCCTATTAAATCTCCTGATCTATCAGCTAATGTATTTTTGCGTTTTTGGATTTTTAAAAAGTGGGTTGGAATTACAACCTCCTTAGACTTTGGAAAACTATTCGAGGGCGATGGAAAAATACCGTTTTCGATATTATAAAGGCTTTATTGTCTTCAAAATTACGGAATATAAAGATAATGAAGAATAAGGGTTATCAAGTAGAACATTTAAAACATAAAAAATTTAAGTAAAATATTTCTGTAATTACAATGGAGGAAAGAATGCAAACAGAAGAAATGTGCAAGCAGCCTCAATATTTAATCGAAAGAATTAAGGTGAGGATCGAAACAGGAAATTTTCAGACCTTCTGAGAAATTCAAATTAAGTGGTGAACTGATGTGAATAATCGTTTAACTTTCAAAAATTGAAAGTTATGATTCTTAAACCGACAGTGGAGTGACATGATGAAGTTTTGCTTTTTTTTTCATTTAAAATGTAGATATGTTAACTTATCCTGACTTCTAAAGATCTGTTTAATTATATAAATTCTCCCAGGACGTAAGTCAGGTATTTCGATGTTTACATATAATGCACAACTTCTGCTTTAAATATTTAGTGACTATGATGAAAGTGGAGTGAATCTCAAGAAAACTATTATTAGTAATAAGGTTTGTGTTTATTGGTGCTAATGGTTAAACTGAATTCTTCATTTGCTTACCTTTCATATAATATGAAGTCATTTTCCTCAGAATTTCTAAAATTTAGTGCTTACTGTAGTTTTTATTTTGTGTAAATAAATTTATAAGACTTAAAAGATTTAATAAGAAATAACTATGGAAAGGTGGAGAGACTAAAGTGGAATATTAAGTTTAAAAAATAGCTGTGATGAATTCATATGCAATTAATAATTCATTTTACTTTCCGAAAAGATTTGAGATTATCATTTCATAAAGATTTTAAATTACGCGGAATGCTGTAACTCTTTCCTGTTAAGCTAGAATTAGAATTTTAAATGCGAAAACGCCTATAATTTACATTGAAATCACTGGAAAAAGCTGAGCGAGCATAGCAGTTTGTAGAGCATTCTTGTCTACTGAACATACGCATGAGCTTGACAAGCATGCGCCATGAACGTCATGATATAGATACAGCTATAGCATGAACACTGTACAGGCTATTTATTTGATTTCATTTCATACTTATATTATATGTGATATTGATATTGTGCATTTTTGAACTGAATGATTGATATTGGAATGCTTACAGTGCTAGAAATAAGATACAAATGTGAAGCTTTTGCAGTTCTATCCACTGATTCTTAATTCCGAAATATCTATGATTACGACTGATTAGATATTTAAATCAATACATAAATTCGCGTTAATTTAAAACTCTGCGTCAATCCATGGTTAACAACAGATTAGATATTTAAATCAGTACATATATTCGCATTAACGTAAAAATCTGCGTCAATCTTTCGATCAACACTTCATGGTCTTAAATTAAAAATGTAAGTGGATGTTATGCTGAGAGCTAACATTACATAACTTAATCAATTCAATGTAATTAGATGAAATAAAACTGCTACTTCTTTAAGTAGCTACTGCAGGTACAGTAGCTGTATCTCCGAAACAGTTGTAGACAGTTTGTTATAGAAACACCCCGAAACGGTTTGTTGTAGAGTTTCCAAGAATTAATGGTGGATTTCGTCACTTCTCTGAGAAATATGTATTGTTTTAAAAGGAATCAAAGTACTTTTATTTCAATCACCTAAAAAGATCATGAGCAAAATTAATATTGTTGAGTTGTTCTTTTTCTGATACCAGTTGTTAAGTTATTTTCGTCCTTCACGTTCGTACGGAGTTCGTGAGGATTTGGAGTGAATAATGACAGTACTACTTGATTAAGTATCGAAACACATTTTATTGGCCAGTATTGTCAGGACAGCTCCAAAACACATTTTTACAGTCGTCGATGAACTGCTATCAATACGCTGACACGATCAGCGACACAGCCTCTAGGTTATCACCGTGGAAAAAGCTCCACGGCAAAGCGCTAGAGTACAGCTCCCGACTCTGCTTGGACGTTCTCGAAACTTCACGTACTCTCTAGACAACTCGCGATGCACTCGACGATACACAGAACACAGTTCCCGACTCAACACGCTCTCTCGACGATGCACTAACCGCGACACACTACGAGACTCTTTCGATGCACTCGACGACCCACACGGCACTCGCTGTCCGGCTGTCAACTCGATCGACTCTGCAGGGATTGACTCGCTACTAACTATCTCGCACTCTATGCGAGGCACACACTGACTCGCCCTCTCGACGACTGCGGACCAGCAGGTTATATAGCTTTTGGCTGGTGTTCGAGAACATTCTGGGCTAAACAGGTAAGAATTCGTTCCAGAAAGTTCTCCACCCGTCCATGGCATATCGCCAATTTTGTCGCCAAATGGGCAATTTCTCGCCAAATGTGGCAACACTCCCTTCCCTTGCTATTTTATGGCAACCCTAAAATTGCTTTGCGGGGAAGCTATCTTACCGTACCTGTAGATTTCGCAACAATATATTTCAGTGTGCGCAAATAGTACAATGGACAACATAGCGATACTCAATTTTGGCCATTAATCTGGAAAGGACATCTAATATAGCACTTACGATACCATTTTGATCCATACTGTGAAAAGAATGTTTAATTTAGCTCGTTTTGAATTCAGTTTTGGTTCGTACTCTGGCAACAAAGTCTAGTATAGCGCTTCAAATCAAATTCGGTCCATACACTTGTGACGTTGCGTGGCCCCAACTTGCCCGCAACAATAGTAGTGACTGCTATGAACTGGAATTCCATAAACTCTTAAGAAGGGTTTAACTCCCTTTTTATTCCACTTTAGAAGTTACAGATGCGTTCACTTGACGCTCACAAACTACGCCGAACCGGCGGTTAAATAAAAATAAGAAAGTACAACTAAAAATGAATAAATAACAAGTCACTACCTACGGGACTCTATAAACGTCACTAACTTAACCGCGTTCTAAGATACAGCTGAGATTTCAGCAAACTTTCTTAATAAGAAATTGAAAGATTCAACTAACTGCCGAAGTAGGCTCACAGGCCAAAAAGGCGCGGTTCTTAAATTTCTACCTAGCAACCTTCACGCTCGTGAATCAAGAAAGCACACTTTCGAACTCGTTTCCCTTCTATTTAACTCAAATTACTTCCGCTGACAATTTGAATACTTTGCGCGTTCTAGTAAAATTTACATACTCTGGCATTGGCAATTCCAGGGGAAAGTAAGGCTTGACAGGAAAGATAGCTTAAAATAAATGTTAGTTAAAATAAATATAAACTCTACACACTGTCAAAAGCTTGTACTGTACCACTTGCTATTGCTCTTCCGTAAGGTAGTCAAATTATTAGTTCTTTCATCGCAAACCTCAATTTTGGCAAAGCCCTAGAGAAAGATATCTAGAAGGGTAAGATTAGGATTTCTTGCCGCCCATGGAGAAGATCCAGCTCTGCCAATCCACTCACTACCCTGGAAGTTAATGATCAATGATTTGCAGAGAGGCAGTACTCCATCTTTTTGAAGGAAAACCTACAACTCAGCCTCTCTGATTTTCATTTACTCCATTTGAGGATACAAAAAGAATTGTAGCATATTTGAGAACATATTCGAAGATGATAATAGGTTAAAAAAGGATGTGGGAAAACACATAAAAAAGGAGAAGGGAAACCATATTCCTGTTACTCATTAGATCACACTAGGCACCGATCTTCGGAGAATCTCAAATATGTTCATACATTACTTGCAAATATAATTTGTTTTTAGAAAACAAATTAAATAAAAGCGTTTTTATCTTGTAGAGACATTAGGTATTTTGGAAGCAGGACAAATGAAAAAATTAGCAACACCTTCGTCGGGAATCGAACCACGGACCTCTGGAATACGCGCCCAGCGTGCAGACCACCACACCACGAAGGCATGCTAGGAAGGCGAGAGAAATATCTTATAATCTCATTCCACATGATACATACATCCTAGAAACCTCATAAAATTCACCACAGATTATAAAAGATGCTATATAATTATTGTCAATAATAATTTTCTTTGTTATTTTTCGTTAAATGTAAAGTCCTAACTACAACGTGAGTAAAAAAAACAGGGTCAAGCAATAGCACAAAATGGATACATAACAGACTGCCATCAAAACTCGGGTTTCCATCAAACATGATTAAAACTCAAAGCTTTGCAGATATACATGTGGCTTCATTTGACCAGATTACAGTTGCAGGTTTAAGATCAGTATAATAGATGTGTCTAACTCTAAAATTGGAAATATTTTTTATAAATTACAAATAATGTATAATATTTTGTTTAGTTTTAGTAGCTCTAAAATTTTTCTTTTTTTTTCGTAGAATTTAATCTAGGTCTGTGTAGAGTCATCATATATAATGTAATACACATACTACTGTGTATTTTATTTTCGTTTTTATTATTTAGTCTGTTATATTTGAAATTAAAATATAGAAGAGATTATTTATGCTGAACATACGTAAGTAGTTAAGTTTAAACAATTTTCTGCAGCCATATATGTTATTCTACGTCAGACATATAGTATTAGCGGTCATATAAGTTATAAGGCTATAGTATTAGCGGTCATAAGTAGCAGGACAAGAAAAAAATGAAATTTGTTTTAGTATGCAAGTATAGTTATCGAAACTGCATTAAAATGCATTTTTATTATTAAGTAGTTTTATTAAGTAGTGTAAAATCCTAATATCTTTTAATCAAATTTAGTGAGTTTTTGAAGGTGTAAAGAAAAATAATTATTCGATGAAGAAGTCAAAATATTATTATAATAAAAAATAGATGTTTATCAATTAAAAGCAATTCTCAGAACACGAATATAATGAAATTATATCGAAAATTTGATTCTATAACTACAAAATAAACAAAATTAATGCACAAATAAAACTTTACAAATAATCTGCTTATTTAATTAATAAAATTGCAGTAATTTAGTTCTACTGCATATAATATATATTATAATGTACTGTTAATATTACTAATGATATAATTTATGAAAATTATGAATTAAGTGTGTTATAAATTATAGTATCAAAAAGAGCATTAAAATGCCAGGTACAGATGAAGTTATTAGGATATACGTAATTTGTTTTCATATTTCTAGGCTTGTTACACTAATTTCAATATACTAGTATAATTTAAACCATAAAATAACATCTTTTACTTCAAGCCTGGTAACATAGCTGATAATTAGCCTCTCGATGTAATTTGTAGTTTATTTGTAGTTTATATTTGTTCAGCTTTATATAACGTACACGAAAGGTAGGAATACGTTTTTAATATCAAAACGTTTATAAACATAGTTTCACATAATTTTTTACATGCGTAATATATAAGCAACTTAATTTGTAACAATACTTGTAAATACGTCGCAGTATTTAAGATGAATTATACAAAACAGATGACTATAAAATACAGTAACAGATGTCCCTATTTATGCAATAAAAAGTGAAATAACAATTTTCATTCATAAAAGTAGCGTTTTTTTAATTAAATTTGCATAATAAACAAACAATTAACACACTTTTTTAAAAAATATTACACTTAAGTAACAAGTCGATCGAAGCGAAGTGACTTAATCAGTGGATAGAACTCGGAATGGCGCCATTTTGCATGTCTTTCAATTTATTTTTCAGTTCGTTTTCTCTGTGTGAAACTTTTTATGATTTTGTTGTGTTTTTTGCCTGCTGCTTCACTGATCTGCTGCTTTTGGTTTTCTTTCTCTTTCCCATTGTAGGCGGTGTTTTAGCGCCGGCAGAGACTTGCCTCATCATGAACTGGCTGCCACCTCATCCATATATGGCCCCATTGACAAGTAGGTTATTATATACCAATTACAATCATAGTTCCTTCCTTCCTTTCCTCCTTATGCAATTACTTGTGCTGCACGGTGAAATTCGCCAAAAAGGCGAATGTGGTTTTTATAATGACGAAGTTTTATTTTTATTTATTAGACGAATAAAAATGATTGAAATCTGGTGAAAAATATCATTAATCAATTACCCAGAAACTAGCTAAATCAGAATCAGCATATGTTAAACTACTGAATAAATATAATTGACGTAACAGATAGTTTTCTCATACTGTTTTTGATTGTTAGGGTTTGATATTACTAGCCTTAAGGTTAATTTATTTCCGAAAAAAATTCAAAGCGTCTTCATATTAATATTTTACACAAGCTTCGCAGGTATAAAAAGTCTGACGTGAATACCACATGACTTAATAAAGATACTTGACATGGCCTATTATAAATTATACACTTTTGTTGCCGAATTTTATTTAAACTTATTTATATTTTTATTGAATTTAGTCAGAGATATATTTCTCATTCGATCAATTCAATTCTCACTTCGCGGTAAGACAAATATACCTAAAAACTCAAAACATCTTCATAAAATAACTGTAAAATGCGGAAAAACCTAAAAACACCAAATACAGTTTAAAACAGTTAACAATTTTTTTTTTCCTGCAAATCAAATTAGAGTTTCTACGCCAAACAAAGCAATTCGTCCAACGAGCAAAAAGACAAAACTTTCGGTGCACAAAACTGAAAGTTAACTTTTGGTCCCACTGAGCAAAAAGACGCCAATAAAGTTGGGCGCCAATTGACCTAATTCACTATTTTACTAGGAGGTTCAAATGTAAATAAACGGCGGCCTCGTTAGGCCTAGCGCAACATAAACTTCCAAAATGTTGATAAATCTACAACTAGGCTGATTAGATTGACTAAAGGCATAAAATCCTTAACCGGAACATAATTAAATCATTTCTAAAACAAAAAACGTAGAGTTAACCAACAAATAATAATAAAAAACACAGAGCTCACAGAACCGAGGAAGATGTTGGTTTATATATATATAATTTATTTACTAAAGAAATATTGATTATATTATCTCATATAAATTTAGTAGAAGTATCTAAAAAGAGTAAACCCATATGTAGGAAGTTTAATTCCGAAAATTGTGTTTTAAAGTAGCGTCTCGGCGGCCAGCTGCAGCGTATAATTGTCGATGGATATTTTCTTGAAATGAATTTACTCTTGATATTTTTTCTTTGAAATCTGAAATGTTTCAAGATTACAATACCTCCTTTAGTTCGTATAAGAAAGTGAAAACTAAGTAGAAGGTAGTCCAAAACCACCTGAAACAATGAAACTTAACTGTAAAAATGTATGAACAGTGCAGCAGCGAAACAGCTGTCACCATTTTTCGTTTTGAGTCTTTATTTTGGCCAGAATTTTAAAATTAACTCCATATTTTAAATCCATAAAATGTTTTGAATCCTTTACAAAATCATTTTCAGAAACTAAGTATCAAATTCTAGAATAAAATGTATTTGAAAAAGTGAGGAAAGGTTAAAAATTAAACTAACTTTTAACATGGGAAAGTAAATATTCTAAAATGGGAATCCATCTTTTCTGGCTCGTTTCCAGCAAGAGCTCTCGGTGGGTGAACTCCAAAAGAGATACCGCTCGTTTTAAATGAATCATTGTTCCCTCGCTCAGTAAAGTGCATTAGTTCTTTACATTAGTTTGTGAATGCATAGCATAGCTCTAGTAGTTTGACAGTCTCCAAATTGTAGTAGTTTGATAGTCTCAAAAGACTGCATAGGTGGAAGTTATCGTGGATTTCTTTATGTGTTACAACAGTACGAGCCAGCTTCCATTACCAGTCATTTTCTCTTCACGAAGGCATCCTTCCCCTTAGACAGATAACAGTCTGTAATAGTTCAACCTAATCCAGTGATGTATTCAAAACATATTTTAAAGTGGCGGCTGGCCAATGTTATGCAGGCCAGATTTCTGTCCTGTTATCTGCTACGCTTTGATTATTCTTTTATCATAAATGCCATACGACTTTCAGTCAGAGAGAAATGTAAACGTCATATCACGATTTTTTTTCCAATGGCGGGTACTTGCTTATAACGGCACTGGCCACTTCTAAGGCCAGAAGTGGTGGCCATTTTATTGTGGAGGCAACTAATAGGCGGCCACCGTTACATCCTATGAAGGGACAGACAATTTTTACATCCATGTCTTCTCCGGGATTCGAATCCGGGCCCTTCGGTATCGCAGTCAGGCTCCCCTAACCACTCACTACACCGGGCGCATATTTCACAAGTGCACATCAGCATAGCCACTGAGGGAGGGGTTTCCAAAATGGACCAATGAGCTCCTATTGCTCTTGTGACTCTTCGCAGTTATAAATATATGGCGTAATGGTAGAAAATCTCGTAGTGCTTTCGTTTTCTGAGTTTGATTAACCGCTGACATTTCACTTTCGCGATTTTTATCACGCATTAATATTTGGATTGGTGTTCACGGCATATTATGTGGATTAAGAGAATTCAAGTGAATATTTTTTTTAATTGAGCTGAGAATGACTGAAAGTGTTACAATGAATCTAGTGTTTTCTTATTTCAATGCTTGCATTCTTTTGATTTTTAAAGTGTAAGATTCAGAATACATATCATCTGATTATATCCGTTGTTAACATTAAATTTATATGTTAATAAATTGAATATACTCTTTGTGAATAAGATAAATTCACTCTGTTTGATGAGTATTTCTTATGTAGACAGTACATTTAAGAGTGAGCAGTTATTAAATGTGAAATTTAACACACGAAATGTATACGAATACAAATTAGTAAAGTTCACTTTGAATAAAATTCTGTATTGGTTATTATTATAGAATATCTTTTTCATATAGACTGCAATAAAAAGTGCTAACTTCTATTTATATATGTAATTGGTGTAAATATTTTTCTCATACGCATAGTTTTACGTAAAGATTGCATTTTGGTTCAGATGTTTATCACATGTTCCTTTCTTCATCTTATTTCTCACTTATTAAGTAATATTTCACATCAATATTTTTGCGAAGTATCCAACATGTGTTTGTATTTATTTCAACCAGGTAGTGAAATCTTCATAATTTCCTATATTTGATCTAACTTCGCAATGAAAAGTTTCAGAAGCAATCGACGATGCTTTAATTATTTTGTACAGAATATTTTCAACCATCTTGCTTAAATCTTAAAGCACGCGAAAGGTCATGTGATATGACAGAAATATTACTGGATGCTCATTGGTCCATCCTAGACGCCACTCCCTCGGTGGCTGCACAGATGTGCACTTGTGAAATATGCACACCGGGCGACATATCACGAATTGTAAACATCATGCCCATAAACGTCATATCGCACCTCGAACCTGAATTTAATTTGTATTTGGAATTCATTTATGGTAGTATTAAGCAATTTACTGTTTATTTAAACACATCGTGTGTGTAGTTCTTAAACATAATTTCCGAAGTTATCAGAATAAAAGCATCAGATCCTTCAAATAAAGGCCGTAAGCATTCGTTGCGAACTTTACTTTTTGTTCCTTCTTCCCTTCTGAGATATGAGTCACTTATTATGCTCATGTAGTAACACTCTAAGCTTCTTCAAGAGGAAAGTAGCTTCCTCTAAACTGTTTACTATAGAGCAGGAGTTCCCAACAGAGGTGGTACTGACTCCTAGGAAGGTCAATGAAATTTTAAAAAGCATCAGTGATGATCAAGGGATTGGCTGAGGGTCGATGGCTGAATATGTACCTGAAACCATTCGGCTTAATTAAGATCCCAATGATTCCAAAAATAAACTTTAATAAAACTGATAATTAATTAGTAATTGATATAAAGCTATATCATAAAAGAGGAAGAAATCATGTAAAATAAGTACAAAGGAGAAATACTAACAAATAATTTTATTTTAAAATCAGTGGTGTTTCAATGCAATAAGTGCAATATAAAAATGCGAAACTCAGAAACACAAGAAAATAAAACAAAACGAAAACTAAAGAACCACGGCAAAATCTAGAATCGCTGAAATGAGATACGTCTGATTTTGATATTATGATGCAAGAACTGATTACATTGAAGACAGATGTTCAAGTCGGATATTTATTGAAAACGCAAGAGTACGTTAAGTTCTAGAATTTAAAAGACGTCTTAGAGAAATACCTCAAAACAAATTTGTTACCGAACCAACATTAGTAACTTTTTCTTCTTCTTACCTAGTAGAAGCAAGCTTTAGCCAAGACATTAATTTTCTACGGAAAACAAGAAACAGCTTGAATATTTCTATACGAAATGATTTAAGAATAAATTAAGCAATTTAATTGTATGCCAAATATTAATTAAAGTGCATCAATATATCAAGCTCAGCCAGTACGCTGATTAAAATCGAAATTTTATGCAGTTAAAATCTGTTAGTTTTGTTGAAAACTTGCTTATATTTGTAAAACTGAAAATAAATATAATGCAAGAACTAATATACATAAATCTAATAAACGTTTTAATAAACATTTATTCACATTCTTAGTCTAATTGTTATCTTTAAGTTATTTATGTGCAATATATTTTGTATTATAATTATGCTCCACGCTGTGTGCTGTAGAGAAAAATGTAAGGTGCTCGATCACGAAAACCATTCGTTCAAGAGGGGTCGACGCAAGGGAAAGAGGTGGAAATCCCTGATTCAGAGATAAGTGACTCTCACTCTCAAATAATGGCCGCCCAGACGGTATAGTGCAAATGGCGAACCTATGACACGCGTGCCACAATCGGCACGCAGAGTCTCATCAGCCGGCATGAGACTAAAATATACTTCCTTAATCAATAATCACAATAAAATGATGCTATGTAATTTCAGGGGACTCGTACACCTTAAAACCCATAAGACCATCGAATATGTGACTGTTGCAAGAATTGGGATAACTTATTTATTTTAAAAGCAATTACTTCCAACTTTTCACAGCTGACTACATAAT